TCTATCTATCTATCTATCTATCTATCTATCTATCTATCTATCTATCTGTGTTGTCCTTCCTGTCCTCCTGCTGTTGAAGGCTATTCCTGCTGAATGATATTAAAGACAAAATCCTAGTATTTGGGATGTTTAAAGTTTGTTTTTTTTTAACTTTAATTAAAGCCTGACTGGCGCCCGACGCTGAAAAAAGTGAGGAGGCTAAAACAGTGGGTGCCCCTTTTATTCGTTTCAAACATGTAAACATACGAGACGATCACAAGACGCGGCGTCGACCGACCAAATAGAAAATTTCATAATCATCTTTTAACGGACTGCTCACCCAAGTCTGCAAAAGCCGGAATGCTCAAGAACACTGATACTCTTAATTATATTCATATATATATTTATATTTATATCATAGATATATATGCGGTAGATACACAGCTTCAGGTGGATGTATCCGATGCCCCCCCCCCCCCCCCCACCGCTGCAGCAGGAGTTGCTCCACAATCTCACAGTTTAGTTCACGCTAAATGAGGCTAAACTACCGAGCTACAGGCCATTTTTCCCCTCTTATGACCCAAAGAGGAGGGCCTAGAAACAGTAATGGCGGCTCCTTCATCACAATGATGTAACATTCATCTCCATTTGACCACACCAGCCCCTTTATGTTCTCTAAATCCTGTTATATTATCATAAAGCAGCAGATTATTGGTCAAATGTGTTCCTGATCCAAAACCTAAGTAAAAAAAACAACATATTAGTCTAAAATTTTGTAGTAGACGTTTTTCCAGTTCATCTTCTAGTCTAAAATTTAGACTAATGGGGTTTTTTAAAACTCTAAGTCAACTTAAAATGAACCAAATTAATTAATTACCGGTAAGAATGACGCTCAGCTCCAAAAGGGAAATAACGGCCAAACACCACAGGACCCACGGACAAAAAAACACCCCAAAAAGTCAAATACTGATTTGTCATGATGAACCAGAGGGGTATAAACTCCCATCATCTCCCAGATAACAGACGCCCCTCTGTGGGGACCTGTGCTTAAATAGCAGTGTTTCTCATTATTACAGAAGCTAACAGAGGCTACCATAAGCTAACAGAGGCTAAGAGAAGCTAACAGAGGCTAACAGAGGCCAACAGAAGCTAACAGAGGCTAAGATAAGCTAACAGAGGCTAACAGAGGCCAACAGAAGCTAACAGAGGCTAAGAGAAGCTAACAGAAGCTAGCAGAGGCCAACAGAGGCTAACAGAAGCTAACAGAGGTTAACAGAAGCTAACGATTCACAACAAGCCCTTCACAAAAGCTTCATCTTTTCTTTTTCCCACCCTTTTATCGGAAGCATCTCCTGCTGCAGCCGGTTAAATGTGCAAATCATAAGGCATCGGGATCGGCCCCCCCA